GACCCATAATCAGTCCTGAGAGTATCTGTCTTGGGCTGTCCAGATAATGGCTGCCTGTCACATGATTGTCCACAGCAGTATTTATATTATCACTTATTATACCATTTATGTGACCTTCCTGCCAAAACTAACACCACTCCTTCAAAGGGAGTGAAGTGGATTAGATTAATGCTGACCCTTCTGTTGAAAATAAATACACACAACCCTCCATTCTAAGACACTTAAACCAGTTCATACAATGGTTCAAGAAATCTGCTAAACTAAGTCATCTGTAATCTACAGATCCACTAAACTATATTTTAAGTCAATTTCAATACGTATTTAATGAGTATATTTCACAAAATTTTCAAAACTACTAATGGCAGCTCTGGCTTATCTGCTGATTCTAAATAGATATCACATTAATATTGCCTGCTATATGTTACTGGGGTGTACCAACACTCTCTTTGAAGCATATCATGTAAACAACATGTTCCATTCATGAGTCCAAATGAGACCACTTCTGAAAATTCAATTTTGCCAGCTTGTACAATACTAATGCATGCAAACCCAGTATGGTGGTTACTGTCTGTCGCAATTTTAAATCTTAAGATTGCAACAGCTTTGTTAGTAGCTGGTACTAATTGATAATTGATTTGGGGCTTATGATAGAACATAAAGCTCATGTAAGTAGGGAAAGTGATGAAATTATGTGAAAATTACAAAAATATATCTGTTTGTATTAACAAAACAAGAAAAGAAGATGCAAACAGTTACTGATCAAGTTAGTATGCAATGCAAAACTGCAGCTTTCAACTTAAACATTAAAAAGCTAAGTACAGTGTGTAAACTAAATCCACGCATACAGGCACAACTCCAGCCAACTCCTAGTCATTCGTTATCTTGTCTGCCCTGTTTTTACGTGCCACATACCAACTCTCCTGTCATTTCAGAACCAGACACTCCTTGCACTGCAGTAACCTCTTTCACACCTTTTCCATCACCTGACCTTCCCCGCCTACCTACTTCCCACTTTCTCATTAGCCCTACAGTATAGGCCGGCCCATTTCCACTTATTCCCTGATTCCCTATTCCCTTGTCTATTGTGCGTATGCCTTAGCTTTTCAGCCTTTTATTCTACCTGTCTGACCTAGCCTATATGATCCTTTGCCTCACCTTTGGACTTCTGCCTCTCTGCCTGACTCCTTTTTGGATAAGTTTGCTTGTTTTGATCTACCTGCCTGGTTTTGACTATTAGAAAACCTTTAACCTTTACCTAACTTGCTTGTCTTTGTATTGTGCTTTTGGGTTTATACTTATCTACTGAGCCTTTGCGTGATGAATCTGACCACGCCCATCATTTGAATAATATCTGAATTAATATGCTTACTGACACGTTCATTAACTACCTTAAACTGTAAGTGTTGATAAAGGAAATGGTTTCAATGATGATCAATTGCCCCGTCAAAACTGATTGTTTTCACCTAAAGTGACCTGAACAGTCTTATGAGGAAAAACATATTTCATATACTTTATTTATATAATGACTGAGATGTCATGTTGCCAAAAACCATAAATGATTTATGCTGACAGTGTAATTTAAGTCCTTTTGGTTCAACATCAACAGATATGCTTCTTATGTTTATGGCAAATGATTATGGTCTGAGGTACTCAATAAGCTGTGCCAAAAGCTATCAGCGTAGTTGACTGGAGAGATTTAAGCAACTATTTAAGGGCAACAGCTAATTAGCACTAAATCTGATCCATTAACTGAAGCTAATCTGTAAATTACCTGTCCAAAGTGATTCATGTTTGAAAACGACAGCTACTGGTTTGAACATAGTCAGCTTCAGATAATATCACAATTTAAAATCAAAAGGGAACATTTGAAATCTTGCTATACAGGCCTTTATTCAGTCATAGAAAATCCATATGTAATTAAGGTAAAAGCAAAGGCTGTGAGTACTTTCGTCCAGATTAGTGATGTACTCCATGTCACTCTCTTCTACACCCAGTTTGCATCTGGCAATAAAGTACAAATGCGAAGAGGCTAGAGGAGACAATATTAACAAAATGGATTCAGATGCAAACCCAGCTGCTGCTTCTATCTTAACTGCAGTTTTAATCCCAGATGCAAATGGCTCCTGGGTATTTTTTTCAAAATCAAATATGAATATTTCTTGCATTAAATGTGTTTGTGTGGAACCTTCTAAAGACATTTGACAGTAAGCCTCCTCCTGCACTGGGATTATAGTGGTATTCTACAATGCTTCCATCACCTGTAAACAAGGACATTCACAGCAGATCAGACCAGGCACAACACAAATGTTGTGATGACCCACCACCACACCACAACTGTGTATCACCTCTGTATTGTATTCTTAGTCAGCACAGATAGTGTGATCTTAAATGATGCAGTCAGTTGATTGAGCTGTTACAGAGCCCGATGAAGCCTATTAGAAAGGAAATAACCAAGACGGAGTGAGCTGTCTGTCAGCTTTACCCTCCATCAAAAAGGACATTTGGTGCCTGTTACTGAGTAGCACCTGAGCAAAAGTGAACCTCCATCGACTCAGAGGTGGTACTGAGCGCAGTCTACCCCTGTGATTTGCCACAGTGGGGGAGGTAGGGGGTGGACAATCCACAGAACTGGCAATAAATATCCCAGCTGGGGAAACTCTTAGGAGTGTTTTTTTCTGCTGTGCGGGAAAGGGGAAGTGGCGATATATCAGTTTCAGAAAGTGGGTCAGAAATACAGTACTGTCTCCAGGTGAAACAGGAAATTACACGTTCAACTGGTGTTACTTACAAGACTGTGCATGTGATGCGCCTTAATAGAACTTTGGGAATGTGTTTTTTGTCAAATCCTGGAGCTTGTAGGGATTCTGCTACACACAGATAAACTGGCAAAGTCTACATAGTGAGAAACAAGTGGCAACACTGACAACAACAAATGCTCCTAATAGGGATCAACCCAACTCCAGAAGACTGATAAATCCTTTAATTAATGTGAATTCAGTGGAACGTAAGCTTGATTGTGATTTATGTGGCATATTTTCTGCAATAACCACAAGTATGGATTTCCTTTAAAATGTTGAGGAGCCAAGTGGTGGGAATGCATGAGACTAGTTACCACATGCTCTTCAAGTACTACTTACAAGGACTGTTGTGTGAGATATATGCATTCATCTTTCATCTCCACAAAGCCCACTGAATAATGTGGTCAGAAATATGCTGCTCTTTTAGATGTTCCATAAAACCTTATCACAACAAGAATCTTCGCCCTGTAAAATGCACATTAAACCTGCCTAAATGTGCCCTTCATAATGTTTACATAAGAGAATTGTAAAAACAACCTCTATAATTTCAGTTTGGTGTTTTACCCCTGCCATCCAGTTTACAACTAGTAGGGAAGAGCTGCATTTTCTCCCATTTGCTTAGCAAAAATGCCCTGTTACAAGTTGCCGACTACTTCTAGCCGAAAAATGTGAGTTTAGGATGGCCATGAAATGGAGTTTACCCTCAATTTATTCTTTATACAGTGTCTTCACTTAATAAAAATGATTCTCCTTTTCTCTGCACTGGTCAAAGCATTCATACGCTCAAGTGAGTCCTCAGAAAATAAATAAATCTATTCATAAGGTCTCGGTAAATAAATCTGTGATGATTATTATCTTGGCCGTTTAGACCTTACAGTTTTTCTTCAACAGTTACTCCACAGGGTAATTAATCAATATTCAAGACTGATACATGTGGTTATATTCATTATCTTCATCGTTATTAATAAAAGTTATTAACCGTAATTAGAGTGCGAAAAGTGCTGTTGAAAAATGCTTCCCAATGTTGAACTAGATTCCAGAGGTACGGATGCTGAATGTGTATCTTCTGTTAATTAAAAACTGGCCCCCTAATTACTTCTGTAATTAGAAAACACTGCATTTTCAAAAGGGGGGGGGGGACTCACTGTTCATTCATGAACATTAACAGCATTAATTAGAGGTTTTGCTTGAAGTCATGTCCAAAAAACAAACAAAAGAAACGACAACAAAAAACCCTGAGCAAACAACACTTGCCTAAATAATAAAGTATATTATGTTTATAAGATGTTAGGAAGCTAGATTTAATTTCACTGTACAACACAGAAATGACAACAGTAGACTCCTCAAATGTCAGACTGGTCAAGCAAAAAAAACTGAAGAATGACATTTTTACAGAATTCATCAGTAACCACATTAACTGTGGAATCAATAATCACATACGTGTCATTGAGACTGTTAGGATGCTACATTAGTACCAACCAGCAAGAAAATGAACAATAAGAGAAAATGTATATATGAAAGGAAGAGAAATGTTCTGTAAATCATCAAATATTCTGTGGCAGGATTTTTTTTCCCCAAAAGTTAGAAGTTATTTGTCAGTGAGCAGCAGGAAAGAAAAAAAGTGCTTAATTTCTCTGCTCAGTGTATAATGGATCTGAAAATAACAATTTATTAGGCAATAGATCAGGTTCAATGGCAATGAAGTGAATACCTACACCACCAAATATCAGGACAAGGCATTAACTACTGAAGTGCGGCAGTAAAATAAAAAAGTGTGAGAAGCAGGCGTGTAACCAGAAGGTCTCCAGTTTGAATGAACAATATGTCTGGGAAAATCTGGTTTGGGAAATAAATGAGAAACGCTCACCTCCCTCATCTACCACTGAGGTGTCCTTGAACCAGGAACAACCCCCCAGCTGCTCCAGTGGAGCTGCACACTGGCCAAATAGCAGCTCCCTGGTGTGAACATGTGAATCTATACATATGTGAAGCAGGCTGTATCTGAGAAAGAGCAAGCATGTTTTGCAAACATCTCCCAGAGAAATAAAAGGTTAAAATAATGCCCAGAAATCTTTGCAGCAAGCAGTGTATGTTAATGCTTCCCAGGCTCCAGGGGGAGATAAAAGGGCGATCCAAACATTGTTTATTGGGAACTGTGTGCAACATAAATCATGTAGCAAGAAAATGGAGGCAATAACTCACCTTTCGCTTTGCTTTTTGTTCCAGCCACTGATAGCATGAGGGGGTAAAGCAAGGAAACAGCAGGTTAGATAAGTCGTATGAACGAGAAACATTGATAGCATGATTATTTGCTCTACCCTTGGTGACAGGATATTAAAGATTAAATGTTGTGAATGTGGAAATGTGAGTAGTAGTAGTCCGTATTAATGTATACCATACCCTGTCATGACACGTCAAATTTTAGCACTTAACATAAATACAACATTACAAAGAGACAAGAAACAGATAATGGTGGATAATGGTGATGGCGCAATGGATAAGATACATGCCTTTGGTGTGAGAGACGTGGGTTCCTCACTGTGACCCATCCACCAATGTGTCCCTGAGCAAGACACTTAACCCCTAGTTGCTCCAGAGGCATGCGACCTCTGACATGCATAGCAATTGTAAGTTGCTTTGGATAAAAGCGTCAGCTAAATGAGTAAATGTAATAATAAGAAATACAAATATTACAGCTTTATTTAATTAAACCCTCCAACAACTTTAGCAGCCCAGTCTTCTAGAAATTAAAGTGGTGGTATTATGCTTTTTGGCTTTTTCCCTCTCCTTTATTTAGTTATATATATTTTTTGTGCATGTAACAGGTTTGCAAAGTGAAAAAGCCCAAAGTCCAGCACAAAGGGAGTTCCCCTCTCCCACAGAAAACTCTGCTCTGAACCGCTTGAAAACAGCTCGTTTGTAGTCCAGCCCCTCGCTTTCTTTACTTGTGACATCACAATGAAAACACGTCATAAAGCTTGCCAAGCGGCTAGTGGGGTCTGGCACGCCCTCAAACCAAGCTAGTCTGAGCGGAGGCCCTTTGGCTCGACTCGCCTTTGTTTGGGTTTCCATTGTAGAAATGTTGTACCTGTACCTGCTTCCAGGTACTTTTTTTCATATCACCTCACCTCCATCGAGGTTCCAAGCAAGCTGAGGGATACTAAAATGTAAGGTGAAAACACGACCGTCTGCTGATTGGTCAGAGTGAATTGTCACTATTCACTGCATCATCATTGCGTGCGCCAGACAGAGGCCAGCAGTTTTCATATGGAATTTCATCACTAAATCCACTTCTGAGAAGTTTTGAAGTGAGAAATCAACTGTATAGATTTCGAATATTGACAGTTTTACGAGAAGTGATGGCAGAACAAAAATGTGAGTTGAGGAGCTCCGCAAGTAGCTGCGGGGGATGCCTGTGCCAACCCGCGGGAGGAGCGTGCGAGGCCGGCCAGCCGCCCGCTCACAGAGCCCTCTGCTCCCGCCGTCACACAGACCGCTGCAGCAACAACGGCAGAGGAAAACACAGCTGGAAGGTTTTCATACCGCTTATCTGTCTTTACATTCTGAGTAATGTTGAAACGTTTTAACTTAAAAAACAGAAAGCTGTGTGGATCACTGGTGTGTGTGTCGCACTGAACATTACGTCGTGGCAGTTGTGTGTGGCGTCGCTATGACGACAAGCTACGTACTATCTCTGGGTACTATCTGCAATGGAAAACGGAGCAGAGCCGTGTAGAGTCGAGTCTATCGATTTGTGCTATGGTAGCATTTTTTGGCAAGGCAGCATAGATCGTCAGAACACCGGCAACAGTTCAGCATTTAGTCCTGATGGTAAGATGTGGAACAATGATGTTGTGTGGTTGTGGACTTGTGAGTAACTTATACCATCTGTTACGGTTGAACCATAAATGGATGAACAAAGAGTTTTAGTTGTTATAGTTAAACAAATGTCGTTAGAGGTCACATGGTGAATTAAACTCATGTATTTTCTTTGTACAACCTCTGTTTTACATTTGTATTTACAGCCCTGTGTCTTTGTCTTTACAGCCCTGTGTCTGCTGTGGAAACCTTCAGGTTTCTGGGTTCCACCATATCCCAGGACCTGAACTGGGAGCCCAACACTGACACCATCATCAAGAAGGCCCAGCAGAAGATGTACTTCCTGCGCCAGCTCAGGAAGCTCAACCTGCTGATCCACTTATACACAGCCATCATCCAGTCTGTTCTCTGCACATCCATCACTGTCTGGTTTGGATCTGTTGCCAAAAAGGACAGGGACAGACTACAATGGACAGTCAGGACTGCAGGAAAGATCATTGGTGCCAACCTGCCCTCCATTCAGGACTTGACTAGAGTCAGGAAACGGGCAGGGAACATCACTGCAGATCCATCTCACCCCGGACACAACCTGTTCCAGCTTCTCCCCTCTGGTAGGCGCTACAGAGCACTGTACGCCAAAACCAACAGACACAAGAACAGTTTCTTCCCACAAGCCATCACTCTGATGAACAGCTGATTTCTGAGCCACAGTGTCAGAACAATTCCTATTAATAATCCAGTAACTCCAATCAGCCACCTGTTTACTGGTTATCACTTATTATTTATTCACCATTCTCTATTTCAGTGCTGTTCATACTGTTATATTGTACATCCTTTGCACTATTCTCCATCGCACTGTGTACATGTATGTGTACCTGTATATCACATCCACCTCCGACATGTACAAAATAATGATAATATTTTACTCCTGCATCCTTTGCACTCTGCTCACTGCATTTGTCAATATGTCTATATTGTTTTGTTGTGTTGTTCATAGTGTGTATATTTGTGTTGTCTACACTGTAGCCTGTGTCTGATTTATTTTATTATTGTATGAGTAAGCACATCGTGCGCAATGTACAATCCTGAGTCAAATTCCTCGTATGTGTACACATACCTGGTGAAACTTACTTAGGGGCAATACTAAACAACGCTTTACTAAAGCATCTACTGGGACAATGAAACACCAGCTTCAGTTATCACAAACAATTATTTGGTGTCATAATTTTGATATGTATAGATACAATAAGTAAGTTTGTCATTCCTACAACTTTACCAGGATGTATTGTAGCTCTGCTATGCAATGTATGATTAAAACAAAAAATTGGGGCATCATTTATAAATTGTCATTTCTTTTTTTTACCTTTATATAAGTGGGGTAGAGATTCATCCATCCTCTATACTGGCTTAACGCTGGTCAAGGGGGGATAGGGCCTATCCAATGGTCTATTGCAGCTAACTAAAGATTTGTGCCCCTTAGGATTCGCAGGCTAGGCGAAACCTGACATGACACTAACACTAATGATGTCTGTGAAGGTTCTCAGTCATCCAGGAAATAGTTATCCAATGAAGGTTAAAATCAAGGGCAACTGGACTTGAAGATACTCAAAGACATTTCGCCTCTCATCCAAGGGGCTTCTTCAATTTTGAACTGAACCAAACTGTACAGAACTTAAATAGCCTCTTCAGCCAAGTGCAGTTTCCCTTGATTTTAAGCATCCTTAGACAACACTAATGATGCATTTAGGCAGTTCTAGATAACTCATGAACTTGTGGCTAGCAGTTCCTGGTTTATCACTAAGAAGTTGAATGAAAAGTAGTATTAAAGCAAATAGTAAGTATTTACTTAAGCAGGTTCCATGATACCTGAGTGCATAATACAGCAAACTATATACCAAGTTACCAGTAGAAAACGTCTTTTCAGGTGTGGGGGCAAATTGGAGCTTCCAGTCAACTTAAACTGCATGTCCACACAGAAGAACCAAAACTGAAACCAAGGACCTACTCTGAGGTGTCAGTGTTAACAATTTAGTAGGTTAAATGTCATTGGAGAAAACCTGTTAGGTTCCATTTACGTTCAACAGCAAAATGAAATTAAACATCAGGCGTAATAAAAGAAACTGCAATAATATGACCAACGTTGTAAATAAAGAGTTTAAATTACAATTTTCTCATAATGTGTGTCTCTATATTTGCTGTTTGTCTTGTCTTTGCTTGTATAAGATTAGTGTGCTATGGATAATTATGTTAAATGTGCTTGTTGTTTGGATTAAGAATACTTGTTATCACTATGTAAAGTTACATATAGCTAAAGGATCAGGTTATAGCAAATAAACCAAACAATTAAGTGCTGTAAAATTGTAAATCGAAAAATAAACTAGTAGTTCTTTCTAATCTGTCTGACAGTGCCTGGGAAGAATTCTGCTCAATGACGTTCAACTTTCACCTTCTGTGCAAATTACACGCTGCTCAGGGTAACATGGCAGACTGGTAAACAATTTCCTTTCATCATCACTCTAGAGACAGGCACTTTGTTTGTCTCCAGTAGTTACATAAAAGAAGGTGCTGTCTTTCAGGTAGAGACACTTAGTTAGAGATAATGAGGACAGAACATTGTTACCAAAGGCTTCAGACAAGAAGAGATTAACAGTAGATTCACCAGTAAATCTCGAAAAGGACTTTGCATAAACTGCTAAATCAGCAATGAATGTTAATCAGCAGTAGAACTACGCCCACCATAAGACAAACCAACATGAAACACAGAAAATGACCAGTTTCAGACAAGTTACCACCCTCCAACTAGACTTGTTCCGATTAGCGATTGGATCAATTATCGACGGTTGAAGGGATGATCAGCGATTGATTTTTCATGCGCCAATCTGAAGGCGATTTTTAACTCACTCACTATCAGAACTAAGATGACATAAAAACAGTAACTGGAATTTGCACCACACTGCAGCGTTTCCCATTCAGTGATTTATTTGAGGTGACACGCCACAGTATCAACTTTGACCGCTACATACTAAATACTATTTAATATGAGGTAAAATCATAATTCACGGTGGAGCTGCGCGCAGTGCATAGATTCACTCAGCACCTCCTCTTGCTCACTCCCGCTCCGTCACAAACACATTGAAAAGGAGCCGTGTGTATATTAAAAAAAAATAATGCATTCAGGTTAACTCTGAGAAGTTAGTTTATCTATATTCTTAACACAATGCTGTCACTGTTGGAGACCCACCTTCAAATAAGTTATAAGCAAGTATGTGTAAGGAGCCTAGTTAGACAAACAACAGAAAGAAAGTTAACAGACAGAAGTTAAATACTAGGATGAATTCAAAATTCACATTTAGCTGTCCCCAGGTCATAAGATGGGAAGAGGAAGATCAAACAGGCAAGCACACACCTCA